AGGCGAAGACACATGCTGTCAGGACAGTGAAGCGTTTCACTGAGAAGGAGTCAGGAGACTCTCACTGGCTGGGCGCCGTGGCTCACGCCTGTCATCCCAGCACTCTGGGAGGCCGAGGAGGGAGGATCGCTCAAGGTCAGGAGTTCCAGACCAGCCTGCGCAAGAGCGAGACCCCCGTCTCTACTAAAAACAGAAAGAAATTAATTGGCCAACTAAAAATATATAGGAAAAATTAGCCAGGCATGGTGGTGCATGCCTGTAGTCCCAGCTACTCGGGAGGCTGAGGCAGGAGGATCACTGGAGCCCAGGAGTTTGAGGTTGCTATGAGATAAGCTGACGCCACGGCACTCACTCTAGCCTGGGCAACAGAGTGAGACTCTGTCAGAAAAAAAAAAAAAAAAAAAAAAAAAAGCAATGACCTTAAACCCTGATCCCTACTCTGTCCTTACCAGCGTCTCCCATGTCTGTGTCAGGTGATTAAATACCTAGTCCTTGCTTTCCATCTTTCCCCTAAGCTACCTCTTTGGGTCCATGGAAGACTTGGTAGTACAGTGAGAGTGGCTACACATGAGTACAAAGGTTGATTTGCCACAGCCTGGGAACTGACTCTTGAGCCCGAAAGAGCCACACCTGGTTCAAGGTCTTTTAGAGTGGAGACACAGCCCTGGGAAATTTGGGAAGCCAACAGGCCCAGTGATCTTAGAAGTGTACGACCTTGCTGTTTCTTTGATTACAAAAAATACATGCTTCTCTCAGACTGAAGAAGGGATAAAGGACAATAACTCATTAACAGCCATGTGTCCAACTTCTTCACTAAATGAGGTACTGTGTTTCCCCGAAAATAAGACCTACCCATAAAATAAGCCCTAGCAGGATTTCTAAGCATTTGCGCAATAGAAGCCCTACCCCGAAAATAAGACCTAGTGATGGGCGTGGCTAAGCAGGGCATCTGCACAACCCATGCATTTTGTCGTGGAGTGGTAAAAAAGATGAGCAGCCCTTCTCATCTGCCCCATGGTGACAGCTACTATCCCAGAGGTGACCGGAAAGGTGCAGGCAGCCCCACCAACAAGGTCGGCTCCCCCTGTCAGGTCCCAGCCATCCTGTGCGTGCTGCAAGCTGAGGCTTTGAGGGGAAAATAACACACCCCTTGAAAATAAGCCCTAGGGTGTCTTCTTGAGGAAAAATAAATATAAGACTCTGTCTTATTTTCGGGGAAACATGGTATTCCCTGGGGTTACCTTTTTCGGACCATTGAGTTGCTCTTTAAACACTAAAACTTTTTAATCATTTCTAAGAAACTCTTTTTAGATTGTATTACAAATTTGTCTTCCTTCTTAAAGAAAAATTATATATTGAATATAATTTTAACATTTTATTAATGATTTGAGTCATCAGTTAATACCAGTAATAAAACCCTACAAATTATTAGTTTATCCCACAAAATACAGCATTTGTTCTGTTCTTAGGTAGACAGTCATTCAGGATCAAAGTATATTAGCATAGTAATGCTCAAACCTGTTCAGTAATAGAGCTTGGGAAATGCCATGGAATACTTACATAATTTAATTATATGAACTAAGCAAGTTGCTACTGAAAATATTATTATATGCAAAGCCTGTTTTTTAAAAACTGAGAAAAAAAATGTTAATAGAGGAAATCCTATCCATAAATTTCTTTTTCTGGGTAAAAAAAAACCAAAAACCCCAAATCTCATTTTATTTTAGCTGTTAAACACTTGGTCTGTTGATCCATAGGGTCAGGGTTTGGAATCACTCTGTTAGGAAATTGAGCCGATCAGCACCATTTGTATAGAAATGGCCTCCTTGTGTAAGAAAGGAAATATGTGTTATCTTCTTTAGCTTGATTGTGGGCACTTCTAGAGCAAGGATCATGTCATATTCATCTTTGCATCCCTGGCACAGTGCATGAGACATCATAAGTACTTAATAAATGTGGTTGAATGGGTAATGGTTAGTATTATTTATGGATTAGAAAAGCATGTTTCTATTTAAGATGTAAAAAGTATTATTGAATATTTACTGTAAATATATGTTAACATAAAAAAAAATAACTTGGAAGGTCTTTGTGTCCCTGGTGTATTATCATCTTTATGGAAAGAATCCATTTTGGTTTCTGTAGAGCAATTAGAAAAGTGAATTCTTTTGAAGATTTGAAGAAAGTATTCTTTCTGTGTTGTCACTTTGTTCTCTAGTAAAACTTTATTCTCAGTTTTCTGACTCTGCATTGTTTACATTTTTGAGAGTTTTTTCAAATCACCTACAATCTGTAAAGAATGTATATATTCTTTTCAGCATCTCAGTTTGAAAAGACATGCAGTTAAACTTGACCTTTTGATAATCGCTCTTATAGGTCATTGTCTGTTCTAACAGCAAGTTGTAAACATGTGCTTCATAAATACTGTGGCTCTCAGTCATCATTTTGTCCTATGGTATTTATTGAATGTTCACATACTAATTATGCACAGGTATTTTTTTCTATAAATCCTTTGACTGTGCTGTAATTCATTCTTAAGCTTTAACTTGAAGATATCATAATTGCCAGCATTTAATGTTTAGCAATAAAAGAATAAATGTGTACCAGCATTTTATGTTTATCATCATGTATGTGTTGTCTTTTTTAAAAACTTTATGCTCTTTTCTATCAGAATTGTTCCCATTACATAGAGTAAAATCTTAGTTGTCTTTAAATTCTTGATTCTAAAAGCAGCCTTCAGTTTTCATTCATATAATCTGTATACGAAAAGTTGTTTCAGGCCTTGAAAAGAAGTCTTTTAAATTAGGTACCTGTGCTCTCACTACTGTTTCAGAAATTGCCGGCTTATGGATGAAGAAAGGACTATCGTGTTTCTTTTCATTAGTGTCTGACAGAAGTCTTCTGTAAGTCAGTCCATGTTTTTAGGAATTCTTGAAAGAGAGTGTTTTAGCTATAACATTTGGTTCTTCTTGACCTTTTGCCCTTAGCACTTCCTCCCTTGTGCCCAGCCACAACTCCCCTCTCATCTCCCATACTCTTCCTCTCTGTCTCTCTCTCTCTCTAAAAGCCAGATAAAATAGGCTGGGAATTGAGCCCAACTTTTGATTGGTTAGCCTCATTCTACTCCTTCTTGCCCCTGATCCCATTATGTTACAATTATGAACCACAAGACTAGATGACTGATTATCTAAACCACCTTTTTATTTTTTATTTTTTTATTATTATTTTTTTGCACCTGTACTATGGAAATAAGCCACCTTTTTAAAACAGCTTTACTAAGATATTAAATAACATAAAGTTCACCCTTTATGTGTAAACTTTAAAGTGTGCAATTCAGTGTAAACCACTTTTCTTTTAATGTCTGATCAAACAACAGTATGCATATGCTTCAGTATAATCTAACCTTTTAAGTAAATGCACATATGATAAAAAGTTGGGAGGGAAAAAAATGTGTTTCAGTTATTTCAAAATTATGTTAACCAGCAATGTAATAGAGTTGAATAACAGATTTGTTTTTCAGGCAAAACATGTGGATATACTTTCTTTGAGACAATTAGCCTTTTTAATCAGTGCATTTGTAAGCTACTCTTGCTGTTTAGGGCATACTAATTTGAATAATCCATTGTATATTTTATCAGACCATAGCATATGAATTCAATGAAAGGAAAGCCTCTGTTTCAGAACTCAATGCTACAATAGATTGTACTCAGGGTGGAGGTAGAAAAAAATGGCTAGAGGAAGTTATAATTCTAATTACCAAGCAGGTTATATTGTATAATTTTCCATTAAAGAGAGAAAAAAATACCTTTATTTCTTAGTTTTATTTAGCTAAGGATTGATGCGTAGTCAATAATTGTCCCTTCTTATTAACTGAATGCTTCTCAAACTTTTCTACTGACGTGCTCCTGACACTGTAGAGGAGCGAAAACCCAAAAGGATCTAAGAGTAGAACCCTATAATTGGCTCTCCGTGGTATAAAATTGAAGTCTGACTTTGTCTTAAATTCATGTGGAGTTTGCATTCCATTAATCTAATCAGGCACCATAAAGCCAGTTCTCTTAAAGACATGAAACTCTAAACTATAAAAGAATTTAAGAATATAAAGATTTCTTCATTTCTAAAATACATTGGTAGAAAGTAGTTTATAACAGCTGGTCTGTATACTGTTGATAGTCCATGGGTCGTGTTTTTGTCCATTCATAATAAAATAAGAAAAAGATTATGTATATTATATTTAATTACAAAGTAAATATAATGTATGTGTGATATTATAAGGCTGCCTTTATCAAAGAGCTCCCCTTTATTTGGAGTGTGGAAACATACTTAATTTCTCTTAGCACTGCCAGCTTGCCCTCCAAAATGGCTTTTTATAACTGACACTCTTATCAGCAAGGCATGAGGGTTCCATGTTTCTTCACACCCTTACCACCACCTGAATTATCTGACTTCCATGTTCTGACAAATCTGTTGAGTTTTAAATGACATTTCATTTTAATTTGCTTTCTCAGATTATTAATAAAGTTGTACATCTGTATACTCATTTAGCCCTTTGGATTTTTCATTCTGCCAATTGCTTATTGATAGCCTTTGCCCAGTTTTCTGTTGTGTCCTAACTTTTTCCTATTGATCCATAGGAATATATAAGGAATTTCTTATATATTCTAGATTAGAGGTCGACAGATTATGGCCTGCAGGCCAAATCTTACTCACTAATGATTTTTGTAAATAGTGTTCTTGTGTTTTGTTGGAATACATTCATTCATTTATGTATTGTCTATGGCTGCTTTCATGCTACCATGGCTAAGTTGAGCAGTTGTGACAGATACCGCATAGCCACAAGCCAAAAATATTTTATTTTATGAATATACAGAACAGCCCACTTTCCAGATACCTATCTGTTCACAGAACAACCGAAGTTCTAGATATCAATCTCTTGTCCATTTTAGATGTTGCAAATAATTTTTTTGTTACCCATAAATTTTATTTATGAGGTCTTTTGTTGAACAAGTATGTTCCATTTAGTTTAGTTAACAAGGATCCATTAATTTCTTGATTTATTGTTTGTGTTTTGTGAGTCTTTTTTTTTTTTTTTTTTTTTTTTTTGAGACAGAGTCTCACTTTGTTGCCCAGGCTAGAGTGAGTGCCGTGGCGTCAGCCTGGCTCACAGCAACCTCAAACTCCTGGGCTCAGCAATCCTACTGCCTCAGCCTCCCGAGTAGCTGGGACTACAGGCATGCGCCACCATGCCTGGCTAATTTTTTGCATATATATATATTTTTAGCCGGCCAATTAATTTCTTTCTATTTTTGGTAGAGACGGCGTCTCGCTCAGGCTGGTTTCGAACTCCTGACCTTGAGCAATCCACCCCGTCTCGGCCTCCCAAAGTGCTAGGATTACAGGCGTGAGCCACCGCGCCCGGCCTTGTTTTGTGAGTCTTATTGAAAAAGTCCTGTCCTGTCCCAAGGTCACAATAATATTCTCTTATATTTTCTTCCGTTTGCTTTAGAGTTGTACTTTCATGATGAGGTCTTTAATTTCTAGAATATATGAGGTAGGGAATCCAGGTTTATTTTTTATATGAACTGAACTATCCTTAAAATATACATAGCCAACACATGCCTGTAAATCCCAGATACTCTGGAGGCTGAGGTGGGAGGATCACTTGAGCCCAGGAGTTCTAATCCATCCTGGCCAACATAGCGAGACCATATCTTCTAAAAATATATATATAGACATAGAATAATATTTTCCTTTATAAGACTTTTAAATAAAACAGCTTATATAAAGTTTTTAATATGGTGCCTGGCATATTCAAGTTAGTATTATGAACTAAGATTACTTATTTTCAGAATGCAGAATAATTATGACATAATTTGCCCTGATATCTCAGTCCCTACTGGTATTAGATCTTGCTTCCTTTTCATATGCCTTCTAGACTTCCAGTGCCTTCAGGGCTGATTCTGGTTGCCCAAAGTATCTCCCAGGACTTGGCCCTTGTAAACATCTCCTCCCCCAATCAAAATGAACCAAAAAATGAACCTTAAAATATTTAAGCTATTAGCTAAGGATTTTGCTTGCCAAAACTAATCAAAATAACCTGTATTCATGGATGTCTTCATTGATGGTAACATAAGCCAACATTTAAATCTGGTCTTATGAAAACAGTATCTTAACTCAGAAGGAGGCCCTATGACAAACTGGTATAGGAGAGAATTTGGGACAGAATGGTCTTTGAGGCCACCAAATCAGACAATAGAAAGCTATCTATTCTGTGCACGATCTGGGACGTTCTGTTTCAAAATAAGCTCTTTTTTACACGTTCATTTTAATTTGCATTTTTTCTTGTTAGAAAAGAGGCTAAACTTTCTTTTTTTAAATGTGTATTCTTTGGTAGATTGTTTATCCACATCCTTTGCCCATATTTCCCTGCAGTGGTTGTCACCTTCTTATTGCTATCCATCATTCAGGGCTCACATTTTTACGAAGAGTTTATAAACATATTTGACCATACCTTAGTTTCTGTTACAGGTTCCTGACTGTCATACTTTATTCCTAGCATTCTTTTCTTACCTTTCAATCACTTTGTTTCCATCTCTGTTTTTTGTTTGTTTGTTTGTTTGCTTGTTTGGGGTTTTTTTGGTTTTTGAGATAGAGCCTTCCTCTGTTGCCCGGGCTAGAGTGCCCTGGCATCAGCCTAGCTCACAGCAACCTCCAACTCCTGGGCTCAAGCAATCCTTCTGTCTCAGCCTCCCAAGTAGCTGGGACTACAGGCATGTGCCACCATGCCCGGCTAATTTTTTCTATATATTTTTAGTTAGCCAATTAATTTATTTCTATTTATAGTAGAGACGGGGTCTTGCTCTTGCTCAGGCTGGTTTCAAACTCCTGACCTTGAGAGCAATCCACCCGCCTCGGCCTCCCAGAGTGCTAGGATTACAGGCATGAGCCACCACGCCTGGCCTGTTTCCATCTCTTAATGGCTTCTAATTTTTTTTCTAGGCTTTAGGTATCACCAGAAATCCACAATGGAAGGTAGCACTTTGCAGTTTACAGAATGTTCACTTTTCCAGTTTAGGGCACCCCCTTTCTATCATAGAACTACCTAGGAAAAAGAGGTTAGTAATCAGGAGTTTGCTTAGAGAATATAGAATTGGAACAGAGGAAGATAAGTAATGTAATTTTTTTGGCCTTTATAGAAAAATAATTTCTTTCCTACCAGAATAGAAATACATGCTCATTATAGAAAACATGTTAATGAAAGTTAAATTGTTATTTATTGAAAAATTAGAATTATATTATGCATAAACTGGTAAGCTGCTGTTTAAACTTGACAATGTATTATAAGAATTTTTCTAGGTTATTAATATTCTAGTGTTATTTCAATGGGCATATAATATTGCAGTGTTAAATATTCCATAATTTAATCAACCATTATTATTTCCAATTTTGCAATATTATAAATAAAACAGTAATAGCCTTACAACTAAATCTTTTTGCATATCTATAATTTTTTAGATAATTCTAGAAACTCTTATAAAAATCCTAGAGGGAAGATTTCTATCTTTAAGTGTGAACACAGTTTTATATACAGTATACATATTGCCTTGTTGCATTTAAATTTTTTCTATTAAGTGTGCAAAAATGACATCTCATTTTCATTTGCATTTCTTTGGTTAGGAAAAAGGTTGAACATTTTAAAATGTGTTTATTGGACATTGTGTTATTTTTGTTTATCCACATCTTCTGCCCATTTTTCACGTGAGTGATCACTGTCTTCTTACTGCTTTTCCTCATAAGCTCAGCTGTACCATTTGTTACATGTGAATATATTAAAACTTCATTTAAGTATAATGTTTATTTTTGTTTGTATATATCATGCTCTGTCAATCTTTGCCTTGTGTTTTCCACCTTTGGTGGTATATTGTGGAAGTCTTCCCCACCCCAAGATTTTATAAATATTCACAAACATTTTTCTTATAATAATTTTACAATTTAATTTTTTCAAACATTTTAACCCACATGTAATATATTTTGATGTTAGTGCAAAGTAGACATATAACCTACCTTGTGTTTTGTTTTCTCCAAATGATTGATCAGTTGTCCAAAGGAGATGGTTAGTCTTAAAAAATATTTTATAACAGCCAAAGAGAAGCATAAATTTACATCCTTTGGAGAGAATAAATATAATGGATGAAATTATCTCTCATTTGAAAAATAATTCTTATTTACATAGGAAGCAACTATTTATCATTTCTTTTTCAGTTCAGTAATACAACAAAGTGAGTATATGCCTTATATGTTTTGATTGAATAAAGTACTTAAATCATTTTTTTCCTTTAGGTGGTTTTATTTTTTACGGAAATAGCGTTTCTCATTCCTGAATAATATAGGTTAGCAATCTGGAGATTATCCTTAACATATATTATTATCTAAATGTACTGTTTTCACCAACTTCTCAATTGAAATATTTTTTTGCTTTATAGATTTTCAAGTTTTAATTCCTCTGTGAATTGTTTAATATTAGTCTTTAAAGGTTAAAAAACTCTATCTTTGGAACAAATATCCTGATTTTAAAGTATTTTATCTTCATCTGTTTTAGTTACATAATAATTAAGTATGAAACACTGCATTCCTTGATTACTTGTTCAAATACATGCATTAATCTTTATTGTCATGATTTAAATAATGAAAATAAGGAAGTAATGAAGATACTATGAATTTGTATTTTAGTTTTTATAAAATTTTAAGTTTTTTCTATTCACAATAAATGATCAATTTTAAAGAAGCTGGTCTACTGTGCTCTTTTTCCCATTTAAAATACTTTTTTTTTTTTGGTTTTATAGATTTATTTTCAAAGCGTAAAATACTTAACACAATTTAAATACAAGTCCAACAGAATTACTCTGTTAAAGTCAGCAATAATGCCAAAATGCGTTCTCATGTCCAGACACTCGCCAGTATCACCTGAATCTTCTCTCGGTGAAGCAAGAGGGTCTGATATGTTATTTATATACATCCTTCTTATCTGCAATGTAATCTACAATCTCTTGTGGACACATTAACTTTTCCGCATCTACATAAGGAATTTCAAACCCAAATTCATCTTCCATGGCCATGATAATCTCCACTTGGTCCAAACTGTCTAAACCCAGGTCTTTCATAAAATGAGAATTTACTCCTGTAATCCTAGCTCTCTGGGAGGCCGAGGCGGGAGGATCATTTGAGCTCAGGAGTTCGAAACCGACCTGAGCAAGAGCGAGACCCCGTCTCTACTATAAATAGAAAGAAATTAATTGACCAACTAAAAAATATATATAGAAAAAATTAGCCGGGCATGGTGGCGCATGCCTGTAGTCCCAGCTACTCGGGAGGCTGAGGCAGCAGGATCGCTTGAGCCCAGGAGTTTGAGGTTGCTGTGAGCTAGGCTGATGCCACGGCACTCACTCTAGCCTGGGCAACAAAGTGAGACTCTGTCTCAAAAGAATTTACTGAAAGCTTCTCTAGGTCAATCCTGTCATAGAGTTTCAAGACATAAAGAACACAGTCCTTGAGTCCCTCTAATGTCAAAGGGGGAACGTCACTATACTGTTGGCACAACTGTGTAACTTGACTTGGAACCTGCACGAGCACCGAGGCTGGCTGCGAAGCCCCAGGCCCTGTCCTGGTCCCCGCAGGGCACAGAGCAGTGCTGAGCGGCCAGGCCGTGGCTAACATGGGGACCCAAGGCAGCGACGCGAAGGCTGCGGGCAGGTGGTGGACACAGAAGGAAAGGACACAAGCCGCCATAGCTACGTCAACCCAAGATGCACTGCCTAAAATCCTTTTCTTCTGAGGCCACTGTAATTGGGGTTGTTTTTGTTTTGTTTTATTTTGGAGACAGAGTCTCACTTTGTTGCCCAGGCTAGAGTGAGTGCCGTGGCATCAGCCTAGCTCACAGCAACCTCAAACTCCTGGGCTCAAGCGATCCTCCTGCCTCAGCCTCCCGAGTAGCTGGGACTACAGGCATGTGCCACCATGCCCCGCTAATTTTTTCTATATATTTTTAGTTGACCAATTAATTTCTTTCTATTTTGAGTAGAGATAGGTCTCGCTCTTGCTCAGGCTGGTTTCGAACTCCTGACCTTGAACAATCCTGCCTCAGCCTCCCAGAGTGCTAGGATTACAGGCGTGAGCCACTGCACCCAGCCTGTAATTGGTTTTTAAACTTGACAAATTTTACAGTATATGACTCTTGCAAACATGTTACACTAAGAGACGCCTATTGGTTTAAAAACATTCGATTTTTCTTGCTCATCTTCATTCTTCAATCACTAGAACTGATACATACAGTCTTTCATTTAACAAATGTTTATTGCACACCTGTTACGTGCCAAGCACTGTTCTAGGCTCTTGGGATACAGCAGTGAATAAGATGATTCTTCTCTTTTGTTTTTGTAAGAAAACAATGCCATTTAATTTTAAACCAATAATATGTGCTGAGCACCACTAAATGTTGCAAGCATGGAGTGGCAAAAGATTAAGCTAAGAAGGTTAACAGTTGCCAAGTCTTAGAAAATGTTAAGGACAGTGTAGACTTTAGCTTCATTGCAAATGGGAAGTCATTGAAAATGTTAAGAAGAGAGTGGTGTAATCAGATTTGCCTTTTGGATGGATCACCTTGGCTGAAGGTAAAGCATGGATAGGAGGGAAACAAAGCTGGCAGCAAAGAAATTGATTAGGAGACTATTCTTGTAATCTTCAGCAAGAAATGATGGTGATCTAGACATAGCGGTGGCAGTAGGAATCAAAAGAGAAAAGACAAACTCAAAAGTAGAATCCACTGTATTCAATGGTTAGGTGTAGATTTGGTTCAACAAGGAATCAACAGGACAATTATTTAATAAATGGTGGCAGTGGCCAGGCGTGGTGGCTCATGCCTATAATCCTAGCACTCTGGGAGGCCGAGGTGGGCAGATTGCTCAAGGTCAGGAATTCGAAACCAGCCTGAGCAAGAGCGAGACCCTGTCTCTACTAAAAAAAAAACAAATAGAAATTAATTGGTCAACTAAAAACATATAGAAAAACTTAGCTGGGCATGGTGGCGCATGCCTGTAATCCCAGCTACTCCGGAGGCTGAGGCAGAAGGATTGCTTGAGCCCAGGAGTTTGAGGTTGCTGTGAGCTAGGCTGATGCCACAGCACTCTAGCCCGGGCAACACAGTAAGACTCTGTCTCAAAAAATAAAATAAAATAAATGGTGGCAGTGCCATTAACAGAGCTAGGGAACACCAAACAAGGAGCAGCTCAATTTGGAACTCTTCAGTTTGAATGCCTGAGAGACCTCCAAGTGAAGATGGCAAGTAGGCAGTTGGAGGTACAGGCCTGGGACTCAAGAGAAATTAGTTGGAGATATCATGTATGAGCTGATGCACCCCAATACATAATTGAGCCCTTGGAGGGAGATACAGTCTGGCAAGAATGCAGGAGAACAAAAAGGAAAGAGAAGGGGTCCCGGCATAGAGATCTCAGGAATACCAGTATTTAATTTTTAAAAAGTGCAGAAAGAGGAGTCTATAATCATAGCACTCTGGGAGGCCGAGGTGGGAGGATCACTTGAGGTCAGGAGTTCGAAACCAGGCTCAGCAAAAGTAAGACGCCATCTCTACTAAAAATAGAAAGAAATTAGCCAGGCAACTAAAAAAGTAAAAAATTAGCCAAGCGTGGTGGTGCATGACTGTAGTCTTAACTACTTGGAAGCCTGAGGCAGAAGGATTTTTTGAGCCCAGGTTGCTGTGAGCTAGGCTGATGACACAGCACTCTAGCCCAGGTGACAGAGTGAAACCCTGTCTCAAAAAAAAAAAAAAAAAAAAAAGACAGAAAGAAAGAAAAGTAAACCAAGAGAAAACTGAGAAAGGGCTTCTTCAGAAAATTAGGAAGCAAATAAGAGAATTTAGTATTAGAGAATGGGAAGAGAATGTATCAAGAAGGGAATGTCAATTAATGTGAGATGTTGCTGAGAGCGAAGTGACATAGGATGAGGACTGAAAAATATCTGTGGACTCTAGAAGACTTTATAGGTGATTTTTTAGAGTGTCACTCTGTTGCCCGGGCTAGAGTGCTGTGGCGTCAGCCTAGTTCACAGCAACCTCAAACTCCTGGGCTCAAGCGATCCTCCTGCCTCAGCCTCCCGAGTAGCTGGGACTACAGGCATGTGCCACCATGCCCAGCTAATTTTTTCTATATATTTTTAGTTGGCCAATTAATTTCTTTCTATTCATAGTAGAGACGGGGTCTCATTCTTGCTCAGGTTGGTTTCAAACTCTTTACCTTAAGCGATCCTCCCGCCTTGGCCTCCCAGAGTGCTAGGATTACAGGCGTGAGCCACCGCACCCAGCCTATTCATAGGTGGTCTTGAGGTCAGCCCCAGTGTGGTAAGGGAAGTTGAGCCAGGTTGCAGTAGATGGAGGAGTGGGTGGGCTGTGTGTGCAGCCAGAGTGGGATTCCACGGCTGCAGGAGATTCCTCAGAATGGACATTCCATAATCTACCCGCCCTTCACTGCTTCTCCAAATGAGCAACACCTTATAATTCCCATCACAAACATTGCTCTGGTCTCCCTGCAGCCCACACGCTCTCCAGCTGGGGCCTGTCACAATCTGGACCCCTCTCCGACTTGAGGGTGGCGTCTGCTTCTGTGTTGAATTCCCTGTGGACCAAGGAGGATCCTTGTCACTTGCATCTGTGTCTCTCGCACCCAGCACAGTTCTGGGCACACCGCGGCACTCAAAGAGACTCCCTGAATGAATAAAAAGGGGCTGAGCTTGCATCAAAAATGACAAATACCTGGGATCTGTCACTGAATACTGTGGCGGTATTTGTGGTGCGTTGCCACAGATTTGAGGTCACAAGCTTAGCACGGCTAAGGCAGTTTCCCACGTCCAGGAGCTGAGGCCAAAATTAAAGGAAAAAGAAATCCAGTTTGAATAGGAAAAAAATAAAACCATCTACAGATAAACATTTCATTTTAAACCGATCCCACCACAGAAGAGACCCGCTGTGTGCGAGACACGGCGACGACACTCCGGGCTACCACTTGGTGTCCACCATGCTCCAGAAGTCGCTGATGAACTGCTTGGACAGCTGGGTGCTGTCCAGGTGGACGGGCTGGGCGATGCTGGGGCCGTGATGGATGCCTTTGATCATCCCTGGGTCCCTCTCGTAATCCCACTCTATTTTACTAACTTGGCGATAAAGCTGAGCCACATACACGGCCGAAGGGATCGTGACTGTCATGTCTTCGTCAACTTCCCACTTCTTTCTCTCGAGACCTGCCTCCATCTCCTTGAGCTCCAGGCCGCCCTTCAGTCTCCCGTCCTCCTCTCCGGCCTTCTGAAATTCGGCTTCCAGCTGCTGCAGCTCTGCTCCCCCCCTGGTGCTCCCACTCCTTCACGTCCAGAAGATTCTGGGCCACTTCTGCTCGGCGCCATGCGTCTCCAGCAGCCGCTGCGCTACCTGCTCACGGCGCTCCCGCACTCGCCGCTACTGCGCCTGCGCAATTGGCGCCCAGCAGGCTGAGCAGTCCCTGGCTCACCTCCTCTATGTCGCGGAAGGCCACCATGACTCCATAAGCCCCCTTGAGTCACATTGCCTTCTGAATTCCCATGCCTGTTCCTTTTCTTGCTAATCTGTCTAATCTATTTCATTTGCCGGCCTCCAAGGACATAACCTAACTGAGTAGAAGAAAACTTTTTCCTCCTTGACAGACTAAAGGGGCATGATGTTTGAAGCTTACTTTGTTTTTTTGGTTTTTTTTCGTTTTTTGAGACAGAGTCTCGCTTTGTTGCCCAGGCTAGAGTGAGTGCCATGGCGTCAGCCTAGCTCACAGCAACCTGAATCTCCTGGGCTCAAACAATCTTCCTGCCTCAGCCTCCCGAGTAGCTGGGACTACAGGCATGCGCCACCATGCCCGGGTAATTTTTTTGTATATATATATTTTTTAGTTAGCCAATTAATTTATTTCTATTTATAGTAGAGACGAGGTCGCGCTCTTGCTCAGGCTGGTTTTGACTCCGACTTGAGCGTCCGGCTCAGCCTCCCAGAGTGCTAGGATTACAGGCGTGAGCCACCACGCCCAGCCTGAAGCTTACTTTACTTTCAAACGGTTCGGAGAGAAAGAGATAATAGAGCAAATGTGGCAAAACATTAACAATTGTTGAGTCTGGGTGAAGGGTATGAGGGAGTTCTTTGTACTCTTCTTGAAAATGTTGTCTCAAATTATTTCAAAATAAAATTATTTTTTAAAAAACCAGATGCAGGGCCGGGCGCTGTGGCTCACGCCTGTAATCCTAGCTCTTGGGAGGCCGAGGCGGGCGATTGTCAAGGTCAGAGTTCAAACCAGCCTGAGCAAGAGCGAGACCCCGTCTCTACTATAAATAGAAAGATTAATTGCCAACTGATATATATATATAAAATAGCCGGGCATGGTGGCGCATGCCTGTAGTCCCAGCTACCGGGAGGCTGAGCAGAAGGATCACTCGAGCCCAGGAGTTTGAGGTTGCTGTGAGCTAGGCTGACGCCACAGCACTCCTCTAGCCCGGCAACAAAGTGAGACTCTGTCTCAAAAAAAAAAAAAAAAAAAACCAGATGCAGGCCTGGTGGTGGCTCACGCCTGTAATCCTAGCACTCTGGGAGTCCGATGCGGGAGGATCGCTCAAGGTCAGGAATTGGAAACCAGCATGAGCAACAGCGAGACCCCATCTCTACTAAAAATAGAAAGAAATTAGCCGGACAACTAAATATATATATAGAAAAAATCAGCCGGGCATGGTGGCGCATGCCTGTAGTCCCAGCTACTTGGGAGGCTGA